ATTAAATGGCTCACTGTGAGAAGAGGTTTTTACTGACTACTGAAATAGAAGTTTCATTTTCTTCTATGTGCCGCGTACCTTTAGGATCATGGCTCTCCACAACTTTTTTTGTGTGACTCTTAGCAGTTTTACTCCCTTTGTTAAGGCGCTCACCCCGCCCCCATTCTGCCATCCATTCGCAGAATCTCGTCAGGTAAGTGGCTCGCTGTTTTCCTCTCTCTTCTCAGCTTCTTATCCCTTGTTGCACAAAGCAAAGTTTAACTCCATACGATCCCATCATGTTCATGTTCTGCCATCCATTTGCACAAGCTCCTTCAGCATGTTTATCGCTTTTCTCTCTTTTTCTCTTGTCTTTACTATTTGTGCTCTATAAATTTCATCTGTCTCCTTCAGATACTAAGTCCTCGTTACTAACATGTTCTTTGTGTAGGATTCTCCGTATTTTTTTTGTATAAGATTTATTTGTTTCCTCTTCATCTGCGAGGAAATTGTCCAGAATTCACGCTGTCACGTATATTTTCTAAACCTCGTATTAAATGCATTCGATTTTGTAGAAAACCGCTACGACCGTTAGTGAAAAATGAGGAATTTAAATTACGCACATAATCTTCTGTAAGCAGCTGACATTTGTAAAACACTTATATCAGGATGGCATAAAAAATATATACTAGAAAAAGATAATTGTTTTTATCCTTGTACTCCTGCTATTAATTATAACAGCTGCGAAACATCCTCATACAACGTCACCGTTCGTCAAAAGTTTATAAAAATATCGAACTAAAATAGCATGGAATATTGTTTCATGTACGATATCAGACGGTACCTACAAGATTTGCAAGTGATTCTCCAGTCTTGATAGTCCAAAAGAGAATTATTTTCCACCCTACAACCCCTTTCCCACAAACGAAACGTCGAAAGCCTATCGCTGCTCTATCAGTATTTTCATGGAAAATATTCAGATGACGTACATTCCTTAGTTCCACTAGTTCTAACCTTCATTCCCAAGACCCACGGTACCCCATACATTGTAACGAAACACACCCTTTACCTTCGTATTACCGTGGTAAGATGTAAGTTCTACTTGAGCAACTTCTTTTCACGAACCGCTGCTTTGTGGAACCTACTCCCAAGATGATGCTTCTCCGATCATCTCGATCTTAACTTGTTCATGTCTAGGGTTAACCATTGTCTTCCCCATATATCCCTAGACACTTGTGCTTCTTACTGTATAACCTTCTACTTCGGATGTCATAGTAAATTGTCCTCCTTATTCAACTCAAAATGTCATAGTAATTTTGAGTACAATCGCTGGGCCGGGTACTGTGTACTTGGACTTGGTGGAAACGGGATAAGCAATCATCATCAGGTCGAGAATTCTTCTCGGGTTCTCCTGACTTGTTCCTTTCAATCATCTCCGTCAGACCGCCGTCGGCAGGTCCTCCAGATGGTATACCGAGTCATCAACATGTTGGTCAATGTAGGTGTGATGAGGTCTTCCAATCGATCTTTTGCCACGCAATGGGTTCCATAGGAGGGTTCTGACTTAATTCTTCAGGAGTGACCACCTAGACGAAGCCTTCTCTCTCATAGCAAAACTGAGATAGGAGGAAGGTGTCCATACAGGCATTTCTTAGCAGGGTGTTTCTTCCAGCTGATGTTCAATGCAACTCGTAACATCCTTGTGTATGTTCCGTCAAGTGATGCTTCTTGGTGTTTCGTCAGTGTCCATGTTGTTGAGCCGTAGAGCAAGACAGATTCTACTGTGGCTTTAAAGAAGTCACTCTTTAGATTGTCAGAGAGGGAGGACTTCCAGATGGGGCGTAGACCATCAAGGACACCTCAGGCTATGCTTTTACGGATTCTGATGTCTTTCTCCGTTAACTGGTTGCTGCTGCCGAGGTAAACAAATTCCTGAACGGATTTGATGTTGTTGTCGTTTTTCAACTTAATTTCTTTTTGGCCGTAGCTGATAAATTCTTTTTTGTCAGCATTAATCTGGAGTCCAAGCAATAACTGAAGTGTGATAAATAAGAACAGGACGAGATATCTCTACACATCGGCAGTGGAACGAGAACAATTTACTCCGTAGATTAAACAAAGGCTTCAGTTCAACATTACCTGTAGGTTACTCAGAATGACATATATCTAATGAAGGCCGGAGGACACAACGACTGAAACGCTGTTATATAGCAAGAACAAATATGAGAACAATAACAAATGATAGCCTAAATTATATTTATGTCATTTTCTTCTGTATGCAATCGATTTGCTACTTGCAAATTTCTTCGTACTCACGAAGATTAAATATCAATAATGCATCGAGCAGTTTATCATTCAGACTGGACATAGGAGTTTAATTATGCAATGAAAGTTTACTCAAGTACTTTGGATTTCCAAATTCTGGTATAACTTTAATTGATACGACTTTGGTTTCTGTACAGATGAAAAGTATTTCAGACCATTCAGGAGAGCTGGATGTAAGCTAACATTACAATATTTTTGCAAACATCTTTTGAACGTGTAAACAAACATGTATTATTTGTATCCATTCCAAAGAATGATTATAATTTCCCTTTATTAATGAACTGTTAGTGCACGAGTGGATTTTAAGTAGGTGAAGTGGTTGCACATGCCTAAATCTATCCTCACAACTCCCCCTTCAAGTTAAACCGGCAAGGTGGGGCCCTGGAAGACTGGTGGATTTTGTTTTGTTTGTTTAACGGTGTATCAACTCCTTACGGGTCACTTAATGCCAAAATTTAATTTTCTTGGGAGCATTATTCATTTCTTTTTACAAAAATGTATTCCTGATAATATTTCTTTTTCGTTACAATGTATTGCTGGCACCTTTATTGTAAAAATGTATTTCATAGTGTTTTGACCCCAATTTGGGGTTCACTGTTTGCCCATAGCTTGGACCCTAACGAGTGAGGGTGGACCTGGTATCATCAGCAATTAAGTGGTGATTCCACGCTCCTCAAAATCTTCCAATCAGAGGCCTTGCTGCCGGATGTAGTTTATCGTCATACCAGGATTAATGATGACACTAAATTTCAATTCAAGAAATGTCATTTACGCGCTTCACAGTGCAGGTTAGAATTCAAACATTTCCTTCGCCCATACTGGTTGCCAAACCAAGGTTAAATAATCCAATCTATCTTGCTGTTTAACCCATAGCTGGCGAATGGAAGAGATCACTTCATGTCTTTCAAAAGAGCATTAGCGCGAACGTTTATAGACTGAGAAGTTGAACTCGGCACGCCGATTCCACTTTTCGCGCTGATAACCGTTAAGCTACCTACGCATCCGGTAAACACAATAATTTCATGCTGACCACATCAAACAACGTCTAGAGCAGTTCATCTTCTGTCTAACGCTGTCATTCCGATTTCTCTTATGTCAGTAGCGGGACCTTTTGCTACATTTTACGACTAACGGTAGCCATTATATTTTTTCTATTGGGTGGTCATCATCCTATGCTGTATTAAGCCTGAATAGGTTTGGAAGGCACCCGGATTGATTGCGACGAACTAAGGTTCGCATGAGTGATTATATAGTCGAATTTATGCTAAACTGCAGCTAGGGCGTTTTCTTCTAACACGAAATCAATTAATGAACTTTAGCACAAGAGGACGAGTAATGTTTCTATCAGCTGTCTTGTAGTGCGAAAGAATTCCGACTCGATTCTTTGATACAATAGCATAAAAAGACACCGCAATTCTTGCTTGTCGCTGATGAATAAAATGTAATGTTTGTTTATGTAGATTAAATCTGGCTGCGGATCTCGTCAGCCACATGCCAAGAAATATTTATTTAAAAAAAAAAAGCTGGTGGCAGGTTTTTGAAGCAAACTAAAGACTGAAGTCTTCAAGGAGACTGCCCTTAGTCGGATCTCGTGGACTGGCGCTACATAATCAAAGGGACTAAAAACGTTACTAAATAGCAGAAACCACATCGTTTTAAGACGTTTTACGACAACAGCTACTAAAACAGGTATAACGAAGAGAAAAAAAATAATGGTGTTGCTTTTCCGCACAACCTTAAACAAAAGGTTAGGAAAGAAACTTCCAGCAATAATGGGAAGAGCGATAACACTTAGTGGGCTTGAGAAGTCTATTTCGCCTGAAACACTGTTTTAAGAGAAAGATTTTATAAATTTTAACGGACAGTTAGTCTAAGTGTTCGGCCCATGAATACCAAATATTTCCTGTATGGAAACAGTCAATCTCACCATTACCATAATCACTTAAAAAAAACAAAACAATATCACGATAACACTGAAAGGGTACATCGAATGCTCGAGGAGTAGGGTAACGTAATAAACAAAAACCACAAAGACAAAGTAGTTGTAAAGGAGCATCTGTTGCTGAATGCAACACAAAAAATATAGGAAGCAGTGGAGAACCATCTACGTGCTCGAGACACCTGACAGATAGAATAGTAGTAATTGTTTGAATTAAGCCGATATTGGCACATTGATATATTCATAGAGCATCTAACCCAGTGTTTCCTGTTTTTTGTTATTTCTTTTTTTTTTTTTACTCTACGTCTTAATAGCTAAAAATATTTAATATCTAAATAGATTTGAAGAATTTTCAAATAAATTAGTCAACCTTAACACGACTCACTTTTGAGCCACAAAATGATTTTCGCTCTTTTCCCAGAAATTCTAAATTTTCGAACTCTCAATATTCAAATTGCTCCTTTGTCACTTCGAAAAAATAACGGCAGTGTCTGTGCGCGGGGGGGGGATGTGATCATGATGATCTCCATGGAATCCGTTATAATCACAGATGATTTTGATGATGACAATTAGTAGAGCAGAAACTCTCCCGAAATTTTCTTTCAGACATTGTCTTATGGATGGGCATCTAGTCATGGGAGGGAGAGTCCCTATCGCACGGACTCGTTATCTTGAGGATCGTATTTTAAAATAATGAACATATTAAATAACACTAATAATAAGATCGATAAAATATCATAATCTGACTATTTTAAAGCGTTCTTTACTCTCACTCTCTCTCTCTCTCTCTCTCTCTCTCTCTCTCTCTCTCTTTCTGATATATCCCTTCAAGCCGTAATCGGTCATAGACCTTCGCAACTTCTTTGCTTTTGTTAATTTTATCAATCCTTTCATTTTGGGGAATCCATTTCGTCATTGCAATACTTGGCCCTTCATCCATTTACCCAAACTAGTCAAGTAGGCTATTGGCTAATATCTTCTGTTTCTCTTGAATTCCTTATGCCTTGTGAGTGTTAAATTCGCCAAGCTTACTTTCTTCATTATATCCTACAGATTGTAAATGTCTCTTTCTTGTTATCAACAGTTTATTTAAATTTTCTGTTCTCAGAACTTTCGCATTTGTCACATGTTATGTTCATGATACTCCATTATTTGTCTCAGCTGTTTCAGATCTATTTTAGTTTCTGACGAAAGTGTTCCGTTGTCGTTCCATTTTGGCAGGCTTTTCTAAAAATGTTATTTTTCGATTTCTTAGTACCTTATGCATTTTTTGACAAGGATATTTTTCTGTTTCTATGCGCCTTGGAGTTTCTGTGTCACACTCTCTCCGTAGTCCGTTATAATTGAGCTTAGCTCGGTTGGATATCCGTATTTGGTTGATCTTCACGTTCCCGATGTGTAACTAATAGTTCAATAGTCGCTAGATGCCCGTGTGTCTCTCGTCGCATCTGTCCCTCGATTCCCGTGTCTCTCGTCGCATCTGTCCCTCGATTCCCGTGTCTCTCGTCGCACCTGTCCCTCGATTCCCGTATCTCTCGTCGCATCTGTCTCTCGATGGCCGTGTCTCTCGTCGCATCTGTCTCTCGATGCGAGCGTCTCTCGTCGCATCTGTCCCTCGATGGCCGTGTCTCTCGCTGCACCTGTCCCTCGATGGCCGTGTCTCTCGCCGCATCTGTCTCTCGATGGCCGTGTCTCTCGCCGCATCTGTCCCTCGATGGCCGTGTCTCTCGCCGCATCTGTCTCGATGCTCGTGTCTCTCGTCGCACCTGTCCCTCGATGGCCGTGTCTCTCGCTGCACCTGTCCCTCGATGGCCGTGTCTCTCGCCGCATCTGTCCCTCGATGCGAACGTCTCTCGCCGCACCTGTCCTTCGATGGCCGTGTCTCTCGCTGCACCTGTCCCTCGATGGCCGTGTCTCTCGCCGCATCTGTCCCTCGATGGCCGTGTCTCTCGCCGCATCTGTCCCTCGATGCTCGTGTCTCTCGCCGCATCTGTCTCTCGATGGCCGTGTCTCTCGCTGCACCTGTCCCTCGATGGCCGTGTCTCTCGCTGCACCTGTCCCTCGATGGCCGTGTCTCTCGCCGCATCTGTCCCTCGATGCGAGTGTCTCTCGCCGCACCTGTCCCTCGATGGCCGTGTCTCTCGCCGCATCTGTCCCTCGATGGCCGTGTCTCTCGCCGCATCTCTTTTACAATCCTTCTATCTCTTTAAGATCCTTCTGTTTCTCCCCTCATCTTTTAACCGATACTTGCGTGACTCCTCCCTCCCATTTGTGGTTCAGTCCATGTCTCTCTCTCCCTCATTCGACATATTCTTTCTTATATCCCGCGACCGGTTTCTCTCTTTTTCAATTCTTCTATTGATCCTTCCAATATTGCCTTTAACTCTTGTATCTTTCTTTCCACCTACGCTTCGATCTATAGGAAGCGTTGAAAAAAAGAAAATAGAACAGGAAGATGGTGGTGTACAACTTTTTTCTAGTGGACTTATCTATGTTTTTATAAATCAGCATTTGAAGTCCTTGATTTCCCCTAAGCTTGAACACCGATTACTCGTACTGGCTGGGAGGAGACAATTGCATAATCTCGAAAGTATTCTTCAGTAGAATTTATATTGTATCAATCTGTTATTTTAAAAAAATGTATTATGATATGATTTTCGTTAGACGGTGCACTTTCATCAGAGTGTCTGGGTTTTTTTGGGGTTTTTTTTTAATCGATTCACCCCAAGCAAGGCGAGAAGCCACTAGTACGCAAGACTTTACACAAGATTTGGAGCGAGAGCAGATAGGAGTGATAGAGGAAAGGATGAGGAGAAGGACAGAGGATATATTAGGTAAGTGGAGATGTCGATTGACATTACATTTGAATAGTTGGAGATTATAGCCCTCAGGTAAACAGGAATAGGGAAGGGAGTTCCACAGGCGAGAAGTGCAAGATATGAAGCTATTGGAGTAGAAGAGACGGCTACATTTAATAGTTTCGACAGTGAAAGGGTGAGAGCTGGATGCCAGCCTCGTAGGGCGTTTGAACTCATGAAGTCTGGGAACCAGTGAAAGCAGCTTCTCGGAGCAATTACCATGAAAGTATTTGTAAAAAAGACAAAGAGAGCGACGGCGCATCTGTGAGAGAGCGACTGCAGACGAGATGCCAGATCAGGGCCAATTACATTGCATACCCGTCTCTGGATCATATCAAGAACCCCGAGGCAAACAGAAGGGGCTCCAGACTTTTCTGACTATTTTTCTTTGCTTTTTTTCTTTCCCGCATCATTTCAGGCATGTGATTTCCGGCTTCCATTGGGCGTCTCTTCTGTTAATAGGATTCAAATAACAATCTAAAACACAACAGACATTTGAGTAAAATCAGAGAGTACGAAACTGGAACGTTACGAAAAGAACAAAAAAAATGACACGAAAATTAGTGTCATAGAAACCACGCACAACGAATAAAAAATTGCTAACCGGTGAGATCGATTTTTCTTTTTTATCAAGAAGGTCATGACGGGTTTTTTCCTTTCTTTAATCAATTCACCACCCCCACACCACCACCAAGTAAGGCGATAACGCCACTAAGACGCAAGTGGCTACAAGAAGTGGAAGAGAAAGAAAAAGAAAAGTTTAGATGGAACCGGAAACTGAATCTTAAACAGGAAACAAGAGATAAACCTCTAGTCCTGTTCAAAAGGCCGATTAAGAGTGTATATATATAAATACTCCTTTCTATATAGTTTCTGATATAATGGAAGATGCGTACACCTGTGTTCCCCCCTCACTGGAATATGATTGGCTGGTGTCCGTCATAAATATCGACAGACGTGTAAGTCCGACAGTGTAAAGAGCTGTGACGTCGTCCCTGGTCGCAGCGCCAACTGTGACGTTCTATCCTGGTCTACCACGGCACCAACTGTGACGTCCCTAAACAGCACCAACCAGACGTCCTCGCCGCGGCGCCAGCCGTTCGCTCCTCGCTGCTCCGTTCGGGTGTCGCTGCTCCAAACGTGACGTCCGCCTGTCGCGTCAGTCGTGTTGTCTCGTCCTGTGACGACCAACTGGCTTGGTATCGGTCGCGGCACCCAAATGTGACGTTCTAACCTTTTGGTGATTCGGGTGGGAATCTGGTTAGATTTGATATCAGCCTCGTCGTTCCCAACTCGCTTCCAACGCCTGGTTACCAAGGTAACTGCATTGATCCCCAGTCTGCCTACACACGTTGTGAATTGATCTTAGGCAGACGAGATCAAACAGTGGTTGGGGCCGTAATGTAAACCGAGTTCAACGGGGGTGATACCACACAAATATGCATAAAAGAAAAGAAAATGAAAACTCAAAAAGTTCAAAGTATCAAAGAAAAAGGTAACAAACTTTATGTCTAGTTGTTCGATACATAGAATTGCATCTATCTCCCGACCCGATCTATGGATTGTGACACGTCGTTTTCCGTTAGGCAAGTTTTAACGCTTCAAGTTGTTTGCTCTCTAAGAAATTGGTGTTTCGGTGTGTCTTTGGACGAAAGTCGAAAAAAACTTATTGTGGTGGTCTGGATCTAAGTCGCTCTTCAAAATAATTGTTCTTGGGTCGAAGAGGAGTCCGGAATTTGCGTGAATCTTGGTCAGCTATCTGCGAGGCGGCTTCAACTGGAGACTCAACTCAAACTTTTCTGGAACTGAACTTACTGGAACTGATTTCTGCTCGTTGTGGCTTCGCTTATATGGACGTCGACCAAAACCGGTGGGGGTTGTCGGCGTCGGGGTTTCTCGATAATTCTAAATACATATCCACCTCTCTGGCCAGGGATTTCCACTTTTTTCCATTTTTGGGAACCTTTCCTCACTCCCACCTTCTCACCATACTTCAGAGGGCGTGAACTGCCCTCCCCACTTCTTCGTAGCAGCTTCTCATACCTACACTCTGGATGGGCGGCGACAGCCTCCTTCGCGCGTCACGTGATCACCACTTGACCAATGATGTCTTAGTCGGGCGTGGATGAATCCGCCGCTTTGTTTCGGAAAAAAAATATATCTTGCTTAACTAAAAAAAATTATCTTTCCTCCTCCTTCGTGCGTCACGTGATCACCACTTGACCAATGATGTCTTAGTCGGGCGTGGACGAATCCGCGGCTTTGTTTCAGGAAGAAAAAAATATCTTGCTTAACTAAAAAAAATTATCTCTTCTCTTTTCCTTTTCTTCCTCTTAATCGCCGTTATCATTTCTCTAGCCGCAAACGGGACAATATGAACAATGGCGATCATAACCCTTGTTCTACACGTGGTTTTCGTCAGGTATTTTATCGCTAATTATCCGAATGGGTGGTCTTCTTAACACGGCCAACCGTCGCCCCGAAAAGACATTTCTAAATTCCCATTCATTTCTCTTCGGTACATATTTCTAATAACATAATTTTATTATCGCAGGCCAAGGATGTTCCGTCGAAGGAAATCGGTCAGCGGATAGTTTGTTTTCATATCCTTAGATAACACAGCCGTCGCCAAAACATATCTGATTCTTTCTTTCTTTCCCTTTCTTTTTACTCAGAATTTCCCTGTCATTGTAATGACACCCTTTCGCCATTTGTTACTTATCAAAATATCCCTTATCCATTGTCTCTTAGCCGTGTGTGTGTTCTGCTTATCATCCACGATTCGGTCCTTAGCCTCTCCTTTTCTTCTTTTCTTTCTTTTCTTTTTCTGCCTCGTTAAATGGTGCCACAGAGCCTTAGTCTGAGAGCTAAGTCTATAACGACGCCCATTGATCTACACTTCTTACCTGCGACTACGATACGTACCAGTCGATTACTGCTACCATATTCTACTTGGTTTTAGTAGCCAAAACCACGTAGCTACTTCGTTCAAATATATCCCTTTCCGGGACATATCAGTTTCTTATAAGAATAATTTCTTATGAAACTATTTTTCGGACTCATATTTCTTTCGCTTACTTGGTAAAAAAAAAAACAACAGCTAAATAATTTTCTTGAGTTTGTCGACTATAACCCATTAAATTCATTTACTTGTAAAAGCTGGCGTTCAAGGATAATATATTTAATCCAAATTTTCTAGGTTCTATTTATACACTCTCTTTGAGGTTTAGGGTTGGTAGGAACAATCCGCTAGGAGAATGATTCTTTATTCTTCTCTTTTCCGTTCATAATTTTTAACGTTTGTTCATCGCTGCCAATCTCGCTTATATACATTCAAAGGCCCTTCTTTTCAATAACCGTTCTGTATGAAGGACTATAGTTCATTAGCAGAGAGCCGATCGCGCTTTTATGAATCCGATATACTGGTGTTAGAGCTAGTGTAGCTGTTGCTATTATCATCATTATTATTATTATCATTATTATTATTATTATAGTAAAACGTTTCCTTCCTTACCCCAAAGGGGCAACTACAATCATCGTTCAAAGGTTTTGCACTATTCAGATATTATGTATGACTTTGTTCCTTAAACAGAAATTACTCAAAGTTGTGGCCCGTGGGACTTGCTAAGCAGGCTTTCTGCCTTTTGTTAATCAGACACATTTGTGACGTTTTCTAGGTTTTTGGGCTGATCTGTCGGCTGGCCAGGCTTTTTCTTATCGCACTGAAACCTAAGCCGTGGTCAAAATAAGAATCCGCCAGGCTCTTTGGACAGATTCCCAATCGCTAGAAAACGGACATTGTTGTCATAAGCAATAAGATCTTAATCGAGCTCGTCATCTTTTATGGCAAAGAATGATTAGGATTTTAAGCCGTGATGTGGTGCCAACTTCACTTAGAAATGGTGTGTGCTATCCTGGCAGTAGGCCGTTGTGCTGAAAGAACAAAAGCGCAAAGACAAAGAATATATACATCGGCCCGCTCAAAGAAGCTGCCATTATGTTTTATTACTTTTCATTCCTTCCTTTTACAGATTTTTTTTTCTATTGACATATTTACTTACGGATAGAGTTTAACTTGGTAATCTAAGCTGCTTTCAGTATCACTAATTATTTATTAGTGTTTTCTGGTGCACTTAATTTGCTATCAGTAATCGTATTGTACATAAGAAGATGCCATTTTAATGGTTCTCTAAAAAGATATTCGCCGCGCGAATATATGTACGAACACACACACACACACACACACACACACACACACACACACACACACATATATATATATATATATATATATATATATATATATATATATATATATATAATTATTTATTTAAAAATTATAACATAAATATGTTATAAAGTCACTTCAAAATAGCCATTTTGTTTCAACACCTCCGGTGTCTTATCAAGTGATTCAACATCATCACTTGATAAGACACCAGAGGTGTTGAAACAAAATGGCTATTTTGTAGTGATTTTATAACTTATTTATGTTATAGTTTTTAAATAAATATTTACCTTCGCTCTACTCTGTATTTAGCACTCTTTTAAGAATAGTAATTGTTGGTTATTGGAATTTATTCCGTATACACCAATCATATAGTTATATATATATATATATATATATATATATATATATATATATATATATATATATATATATATACGATGCGATGAGAACGAAAGTAATATATAAATTCCAACGTTCACAGCATGAATCCAAAAGAGGGCTCGATACCGATAGAAGAGCGATAATTATTTATTATAATTTTATCATATAGACAAAACCATTTTACTCACTACAAAGATGCAACTTGGTTCGAGTGCATTTCAACTGCACTTCGACGGGTGAGAATCGAAAATGGTTATGAACAATCCTGCTTATATAAACGGGATGCGGCAAAATTAATGCCCATTTTTGTATATGTGAGAAATTGAGTGGTTATCACGCTTAATAGACCTAACACTATCAGACTTTTCTTGTGAGTTGTACTGAAATATATTGTCCACAGGCTCGAACCGTAAACACTTCCTGGTTTAAAACAACCAATTTCTGATATATTTTCTGAAAGTTATGTAGAAATATATCAAATGCTTCGAAGAAGTGTTACCGATAGCGCTCGGTGTTGTATTGAACAAGTAGGGGAAGGTTTTGAATATATTTAAATAGCTTTTTAGTCATAACAACTCATGATGTTTTGATGCGACAATACTTATAAATTTTCTTCAACTACTGTAATTTATTTATTTTCAATAAAAGTTAATAAAAAGAACGTTACTTTTTCTACGCCATATATATATATATATATATATATATATATATATATATATATATAACTGCCACTTTACATGAAAAGGCCATCTCTTCAACGTTTAACTGGACGCTCCATGGACCAGTGGATGACTTTACAATCCAACCTCGCTCATGTATACCTTTTTACACATATGTCGTTCGTGTTTACACACGAAAGACTTTCAACCCAGCGTCAGACCTGCAAATTTTATCATAAAACTGACATAAATTCAATAGGAGTAGATAGGTTTGCCTGTCGTCCGGTTCACACTCCTCCCCGCTTTTTTAAACAGTAGTTGCTTATCTCTTGTTTACTGTTTAGGATTGGGTTTTCTCGTCCCTTCTGAAGTCTTCTCAATCACTTTTACTCCCAGTAGCCTCTTGCTTTTTAGTGGCAGTATCGCCATGCTTTTAGCGAATTTCTATTTAAAGGGGAAGAGAGCTAGATATTGCATATTTATAGATATAGACATAGGAATCAATACTGCATTGTGACTGTCAGTTTCGCGCGATAGATAAAAATAAAGAAACTGTTAAATGATCTACCCCAAAGTAAAATGTTGAAAAGTGTTTAGTAATCTAGAAAACCTGATGTAGAATATAGGTGGAATCCAGACACAAAACTTAACACTGATTTCAAGTTTCACGCTATGAAACGATTCTCAGATGGTTCAGGGAAGCCACCACAATAATATACAGTGTTCAATAATCTAGAATTTTTCAGTAAGAAAACTGACCTAGGATCGCTTCATAGCGTGAAACATGAAGTAACAATGAAGCTTTGTGTTTCTGATTTCTTTGATAGACAGACACAAATTCAGTGGACTCGGGAATCAGCACTGAATGTCATTTTTCTGTATCTACAAGCACTCTATCTCCAATACTGAGCTCTAACAAATATATATATATATATATATATATATATATTAGAATTGATCAAGAAGTTTGTGGCATGTTTAAAAAAACGTACAGTATATAAATTTAGCGTTTTTTCACTTGACAAGTGAAAATAAAATTAATTTTCAGAAGAACGCAACAATTTTATCTTAGACCTTGAAGATGACATTGTGCTAATGTCGAAAGTACTCGGAATATAATGAATATGCATCAACATAACCTTTTTCTTCCTTTAATAGGGATACTAACAATTTTGCCCATAAATATGAGAGGATACTATGAAGAATAAGTAGACAAAACTTGTCTAAATGATTTTATGTGACTTGTCTGAATGAAAACACGCTACCAAAATATACGCTATATATGTGCGTATAAGTAATATGTATAACACATGTACACATCAAGTTCTCCAGACCAGCTGGAATCTTTAGCTGACTGCCGTACTTCAGCAAAGTTTCGGCCTCTCTATACGGCTGGCCCGCAACAGCTGGATGATGTTACGTTGCACTTGACTCGATACGAATTTCTGGGTAATCCATGCACTGCCTTCCACCGCTTTCTTGCCACGAGTCTTTATCATCTTATTTGGCTTTTGGATACAGCGCACTTGAGGAATCTCTTTAAGAAAGCAGCAGGAAATCCTCTACAGCGAACCTCAAACGGCACCAGGGTGCGGCTGTATCCTCTCTCACGGACTTCAGCCACCAGCTCCTCATACCGAAGCAGCTTTCTTTCATGGGCCTCTTCAATCCCTTCTTTCCATGCCACCGTCAGCTCGCCAAACAACAGATGTTTCTTCTTGCTATCAATTAACACTAGATCTGGCCTCAGTCCAGACACAATAACCTCCACTGGCAGTATAGCATCAACCTACACTCCCCACTTTCTTGAGTCCTTCGATCTGGTCTTCTGCCTTGTGTCAGTCACACTTTGCTTCGCAGGTCCGTCGATGGTATACCAGCACTTCTCAAAGCTGCTGCCACAATCTCCAGAACCAAGTTATGTCTAAAGATGTACCAGCCATTCTGTAGCGCCTTCGAGCAGGATGACAGTATGTGGCGCAGGTTTCTATATGCACCAAACAACCGGCAGGAGGGTGACTCCTGCTTCCCTACCGCTTCAAATATGTCGGTGATGCCGCCACATCATATGCTGCCTGTATGAGGAACCTCAAATGCCCTGCACTGAGACGCCGAGACGCCACCAATCAGACCAACTGATCTGAACATGCTCACTTCCCTCCCAGTTGAGCCATCGATCCTGCTCAGCCTGTTGGACAGTCTGCACTAGTTCGAATTTCGGTTGAAGTTATTTGCAATCACATTCAACCAATTCTAATGGAGAAGATATAAGTCCACTCATCTATTTGTAGACATAATTACTAAAAATTTATTGCTTTTAATATGCTATGAGGCTTGACAGAAATTTAAGTGTGTGAGCCCATCACTATTCAACGGCTACCTTGCCAAGAATTTAAAAAAAAATTCTATTCAACAGTAACAGGACAATGTTAACACATGTGGGTAGATTTAATATTTCTAAATAATTGAATTGTTAGCGAAACTAGATAATTCCTGTTCTTGAATTTAGAAGTGCTATCGGTGTTTTGTTTTTTATTTATTGTACACCACATTCAGTCAGTTATGTGCCATGCGTGATACACGTTTAGGCGATCATGTATCCTTCGATACATGACTGACGAGGCAGATTTCTTCCCTCTTTCTGCGATAGACCAATTGCCATCTAAGACTATAGAACCGGGTCTGTCCTGCTATTTACTCATAGCTTGAAGAAGATTCATACCTTTCCCAAGGGTATTAGCACGTAAATGAACGTAATGAATTCGACTGGAATTCGAACTCGGCTCTTCGATTCCTCAATCCGAGCCGCTATCCATTACTCCACCGTGTCTCAACTATTCAATCGATTTTACCTACTATTGATTCATTTACTTGTTTGTGAATAGATTTACACGTTCAATTTCTTCGATAATGTCTTAATTTTCGATACTGATTTTGAGATAAACTAATTTCTTGATTAATATTTGATTGGTTCAAGGCTAGAAAATAAGGAGTGCCAGGTAAGAATAGAAATATAGATGTCAAACAGTGTTGAACCTAATCTGGGCGACAGCTTAGAAAGCCCTAATTACTGTAAGGAAGTTGTTCTAGTCTAAAATGTTTAGTGAATAAAGTAACCAACGTAGGAATCGATGTTAAGTTTTTGTGTCAATAAACGCAATTAAGGGCAAATAATACTGAAAAGACCCCGTCTATTCGATTTTTTCAGCCCCCTCTGAGAAAGTTAATAAAAAAATAGTTAATGTGACGTGTTAACCTCCAGCAGTATGCTCTGGCGGGAACATCCAAGTTGCAGTCACCGTGCTGGATCATCAACACGGACGGACTTCGGTGTAAAGCTACATGCACGGACATTGGTGCGAAAGTGAACGCAACAGGCCGGGCTGGAATTTGAACTCGGCTCACCGATTCCGCTTAAATGATATTAACTGCTACACTATCCGGCGCATGCAATAAAAGTGTTAAAATATCTGGCAGACCCTTTAAAATTATTGCGACTTGCCACGACACCCACGTTGATAATCACTGATCTGCGCTTATCAAGGAATAGGACTTTCGTACATCGATTTTATTTAAAGCGAGAGTTCCCAGGGCAAAAGTTTACAAGTAAATTTCCCTTGACTTGGAATAGCGAAGACTTTAATTGTTAAAAATTATTTTGCTAAACATCTGTTGACGCATGAAGGTAACATTCCCAACAGCAAAAATATTCAGAATCAAAAAGGCTTTTTTGTTTGTTGTTTTTTCTGTTCGTTTGCTTTGTTTGTTTTTTTTTGTTTTTTTTTACATTGATTTTTTTTTTTTTTTATAATTTCACCTCAAGCAAGGCAATAACGCCACTAGGACGCAAGGAATTACTGTGTGTTAGAGAATATGATAAGAAACTAATATTAAGGATATATATATATATATATATATATATATATATATATATAAACATTAAAAGAACAAGACACAAGATAACAATTGCTATTTATATTGTTCGGACTATTGTCCTAATCTTTGTCGCCATATTTATTACAACGTTTCGGCCGTTGTACGCTCCGACCTCCTTCGGGTGGTTGGAATGTCAAACTGAACCCTTTATTTCGCTCACTGGGGTAGACTTTCTCCAGTAAGCGAAATAAAGGGTTCAGTTAGACATTCCAACCACTTGAAGAAGGCCGGAGCGTACAACGGCTGAAACGTTGTAATAAATACGGAGAGAAAGATGAGGACAATAGTCCGAATAATGTAAATAGTGTACATAATACCTCATCTCAGAAATATAAACAAATTGACATTGCATTTAAATTTTTGAAGGATAAAGTTGACTGGGATGCAAGAAGCCGGAAGATTGCTCCACAAGCGTGAAGTCCGAGAGAAGAAATTGTTAGCATGGAATTGACATTTTTATGTCCTGGACTTATATCTGGGGAATATGTAAATACGCTGAGGTCAATAGAGATGACAATAGGAGAAAAGACCCAATAATTAGTTTTCCTCATGGCCTATAAAATGAGGTATTAATCCTTTCGTACATAGGAAGCAAGGAATTGTAATTTACCTCTCTTTTTAAAACGAAAAGAAACACTCCAACCTAAACACTTTAAAGTATAAACCTACCGATATACACACCTCTCTTTTAAAATAATATATACAAACAATGCACTGATTTTACCCAAATAAGGAAAGCGAGGAGAAAGGATTAAACATTAATTGCAAGAAAGCAGAATGTATGGCTATCAGCAAGTGGAACAGCCCAGTATGCAAATTACAAATTGAAAATACTGAAATCAGAGTACAAAAATTTAGATATCTGAAGTGTTTTAACAGCGTGCTGAAAGTGCGACACTGAAACCCGAAGGCGCAATGAGATAGCGAAAGGTGCCTTCCAGAAGCTAAGTAAAGTATTAAGAAACAAAAAAAAAATCGCTAAAAACAAAGAGTACTGAACTGTTATGTAATATGGACTCTTTCTCATTAAAGTGAATGCTGGACAATCTCCTCATAGACGAAGAAGAGACTTAAAGCAAGAGAAATGTACTACATAAGGATGCTGACAATACCATGGACTGAACATGTAAGCGACGACGAAGTTTTAGAGAAAATGGAAACAAAAAGACACATATGAGGCACATAATGAGCAAAGTGGGCTTGGAAAATTTGATCCTCACAGGACATATTAAAGACAGAGGGAAACAACGCATGAATTACCTAGCAAGCTTGAGTAAATGGCGGAACAGGGTTTAGGAAAGGTAACAAAAAGATAAAATTAATTAAGAGTTACGAAGGACAGGACATTATGGAGAGCCATGATCGTCAACGCCCTGAAAGAAACGGCGCATAAAAGAGGGCCATGTAGGATACCCTCAAGAATGATGAAATAATGCATCAATTACACAACTTCTCGGAAGACATCTGCATAGATTTGGAACCAGTCTTGATATCTAACTACTGCTTCCTGGTATTTGGAGGCGCTTGTTTGCGAGTAAATAGTTCTCTCTGACGCCAAATGATCAGTTGGGTTCATGTCGGTCGAACATACTGGTCATATCATTGCTAGGGAATCCTCAAACAGATTGTCTGCAACTTGGATCCAATTACACAATGTTGAAATAATTCACCGTTATTTGGGTAGACAACTATTCGCGAAGCAGCGCACCTTACCAGCCACACAACCTCTGCCATGTGAGCATATCCCAAACTATTATGGAACCAACTCCAGTCTATATGTTGTCTTGTTGACATTTGGATCCATGTGCTCGTGGAGTCTGTGTCGCAATCGAACCCTACCATTAATTCGAAATAGCTGGAAGCGTGAATCATCAAAACACTCCACACTTTGCCAGTCCACTGCGATGTGTTAATACGCTCATCCTAGAGGGACTTCTTCTCTCATATCTCACGGAACTTAAAGAACGTTGGATCGACCTGCTTCATATACATTGAATATGGACTTTTGACCCAGATTTGCTTGTTTATAACCGCAGACCATTCTTTCCAGACGACTTTCGTCACGATCAAAAGTAAGCCACTGCGGTTGGGAATAATATCTTTTATCGGGCATTTTTTCGGTACACACGTGACACCACGTGACCTCATTTTTTTTTTTACTTCTGAAGGGAAAAACGTTAAGTTTATGTACTGTACGATTTAAATTTTATGATGAAATTTAACTTTCAGATGAACACAACAATTAGAAAAAACAACACCCTGATGATAACCTTGTGCTAATGTCGAAAGTACTCGGAATAATATGTATATTCTAATAATATATATATATATATATATATATATATATATATATATATATATATATATATATACATTAGAATAATAGGAAAAAACAATGAGATTTATAATTCAGAGTTCTTAGCATTTATTTTAATTTTTAAAAGCAGTGCTCGAACAGTAGAGCATAATATTATAATTGTTTTTTAAATATATACTACCATCGCGACATCGAAATTCCGTTCCATTATCAAACAAGACTAAGAACTTAGCATCGCTTGATAATTGTTGTGTATGATACACCTAATTTACATAAGCGGACTACCGACCATATAAATATGGGTTGGTACCGGAAGACGGGGAAGATAGTAGAGATTAAGAAATTGAATCCAGAGACTCTGCCCGACTGCGATTTAGTCAACCCATTATGCAGGAACAGTCTTCCCAAGAATATACCAAACTAACTGTAAATATTGTGTACCTATTCTTTGTTTCAATACATTTTGTTAACGTACATTTTGTGTTGTATTATTCCATGCTTATTTAAGCTTCAACAATAATGGAACGGAACTTTGTATTTTTATGATTAAATTTGAATTGAAGTTTCAGTTTTGAAACATGGGAATTTCGATGTCGCGAGTTAATATATTTTTTAAAAAGACAATCATAATATATATGGCGAGGGACTAAGCTTGGGTAGCAGCATGTTTAAGAGAGGGAAAATATTGAATTCCAAACCGTAGATATTTCAGTGGGATTTATTTTATTTAACAGCTTATCAACCATTTGGGGATTATTTAAAGCCGAAACGTAGTTTAGGATTGTATGAATAATTCATTTTTGCGAGTGAACATTACATTAACATTTTTTTTTTTTTAGAATAACAATGCCTTTTATACTTGCAAGTTCTATTATTTAACCTATGGCTGAGGGGGAAATGAATTCCTATCTTTCCTAAAGATAATTTGTCCGTGAGCAAATGTAACGAATCAAACTGAAATTTGAATTCTATTGCATTACACCCACCCACATTTCAAAATCAGTGTGCAAATACTCCATATTTTCCCCAGGAATGCATCGCAAATGACTTATAATAAAGAAAAATAAACAGTGGAGAATCATAACCGCTTAAGTCCTGAGCAAGAAAATAGCCTCAAAAATGCTGGTTTCTGACGAACAAAACCAGAATATATTCCTATTATATAAGGCATCATATGGAGGGATTATGCTTTTTGTTTTAGTAAGTCGTTATGATAAAAATTAAAAAGACACACTGTTGCAACTGCCTACCAATTTCTATATATTAGTTTGTTGGCAGCAGAAGAAACCTTTTTTTAAATGTATTCCATTGCATAAAATCATGAGAAAATTTAAAATTGTAATACGTGAATAATCTCTTTAACCTGTAGAGGACATGAAATTTTAAATTCGGGATTAGAATTTCCATATGTGTTCTCTGGAAAATGTAGTGCGAAAGATTTCAGAATAAATGCTAAATGATGTTGAAAGGAACAATGCAGAATGGCTGGTTCAGTAAATGTGTCAACCTATGTTAATAATAGTGAAGACCAACACCTTCCATGTTCAATTTGAAGGTCGATTTGATTGATTTTACGACATATCAACTTTTGCTGAATTATTTAATGTCGAAATCTGTCTTTTATATATCCACGAATCAATAGGTAAGCATTAGACGCACTTATACTTTCGATAGGTAAACATTGGTTCTCCATACCCGAGTCCTCAAGTATCCCTTCGGTAGATGGCTCCTTTTTGAAGAGGGTCTTATCCTCTGCAGATGATGAAGTCAGCGTGCTCTACACCTTACCGACAGGGTAACCAATTTTAATCTTTTTATAGTACTATACTTATACTATGAAGATGAATAATGTCTGACCATTTTAAGTAGTACTTTTAGTGAGTCTGTGAGCGAACTGCATGTAAACTAAGTGGCGTCTTTCTTGCATTATGAATGCTTTTGGCAGAAATTCCAAGATCTTTTGAGCAGGACCATAGGTTTATCCCTTGTTTCTTGTTTAGGATTACGTTTCCGATTCTTTCTAAAATCTACCTCAATTCTATACTTCTAACGTCTCCACCTAAACTTTTAAATTTTATTTGCTATTATATTTTTAGGAGCAGATAAGTTTGCCTTGTTTCCTGTTTAGGATTGGGCATCTGATTCATTCTAAAGTCTTTTAATTCTCTTTCACTTTCAGTAGTCCTCTTGTGTCTTAGTGGCATTATCGCCATGCTTGGGGTGAATTTTTAAAAAAGAAATCTCGAAGATTAGGACAGTTTACACAATCTATAGATACTGTTTGATTATCCCCACACTCTCCCTTCTGTCTTTCCTGCAGGATGTCTTAGACTTGTTTTGTTCTCTTCCGGGAAATACAGTTTGATACACACCAAATCTCATGCCGCCTTGTGTTCTTTCCATTTAACTTTGCTTCGGCAATTCAGTATGTAGTGCGTCCTGAGTAAGACGATAAACTACACCCGCGTCCTGCGTAAGACGATAAACTACATCCAACAGCAAGGCCACTCGGGAGGTTTTGAGGAGCGTAGAACCACATTTTAATTGATGATGTTCCCAGGTCCACCCTGACCCGGAGTGGTAGCATCTGTTAGGATCCCAGCTATGGGCAAATAGTTAACCCCACAAAGTGGGGTCAAAACACTATGAAAGTGTGAAAATAGGTTTCAATACTAGCAATAATTTTTTTGCTAAAAACATTATTACTAGCAATACATTTTTGAAGAAAAAAAAATCTTGCCTGTAATACATCATTGGGAAAAATATTAAGAGCAATAAAAATCTTGTCGGCATTAAATAACCCGTTCAGGTTGATATGCCGTAAAACAAAACAAACCAATCAATATGTAATTAAATATACGTAGTTTGTATGTTCATTATTAATATAGTATTTGAGGACACTCCAATGCATACACTGTCCTCAAATATTGCTCTTTGGATTACTTCCAGTGGATAAAAGCGTTGGTAAGTAATCTAGTGACTTGACCCAAAGAAATGCGAGTTCAATACCTGGCCACAGCTGAGGTGAACAAAAGCTTAGAGAGTTGAGTTACTAAAGGGAAATAACTGAAACTGAGATATCCAGAAATGGCATGGCACGTGGAACTAGAACAATCCACCCCGCTGGACGAAATAAAGGGTTCTGTTCGAAATTCCAACGTATCTATCCTGAAGGAGACCGGATCGTACAACTGCCGAAACGTTGTGAATATGACAATAAAGCTGGGAACAACAGTTCAAATAATGTAAATAGTGAAAATAGTTACAATGCCTCATCTCAGAAAAATAAACAGATACCGAATAATGCGAACTTGTAGTATCCGTAAAGAACAATATCTATTCGGAGATAGGATCAACACAGATTAAATGGTAAAGCTGACTGGGTTGTCTAGCTTTCTATTAAATGGGGTGTTTGTAAATCCCACGGTACTAATGCTGTAACATCGTCTCACAGAACTAACGCCGGATTAAAACTTTATTAGTGTTTTCTGTTAATAAATACCTGTAAAATCCGTGATAGCGACACCGGTTGACATAAATTTAAAGTGCGTTTTTATATCCGAGGAACAGAATAATTCTGTTTCAATTTTTCAACTTCCTGTTTTCTCTTTCTTTGTCTGCTTTTCTTTGTGTGTCGCTCTCTCTCTCTCTCTCTCTCTCTCTCTTTCTTTGCTTTTGTGTGTGTCTCTCTCTTTCTCTGCTTTTCTGTGTGTCGCTCTCTCTGCTTTTCTGTGTGTCGCTCTCTCTGCTTTTCTCTGTGTTTCGCTCTCTCTGCTTTTATGTGTGTGTCGTTCTCTCTCTGCTTTTCTGTGTGTAGCACTCTCTCTCTCTCTCTCTCTCTCTGCTTTTCTGTGTGTCACTCTCTCTGCTTTTCTCTGTGTCTCGTTCTCTCTGCTTTTATGTGTGTGTCGCACTTTCTCTCTCTCTCTGTCTCTGCTTTCCTGTGTGTCGCACTTTCTCTCTCTCTCTCTCTCTCTGCTTTTCTGTGTGTGTCGCTCTCTCTCTCTCTCTGCTTTTCTGTGTGTGTCACTCTCTCTCGTGTGTGTGTCGCGCGCCATCTCTCTCTGCTTCTCTGTGTGTGTCGCGCTCTCTCTCTCTCTTTACGTCTGTCTGTCTCTCTCTCTCTCTCTCTCTCTCTCTCTCTCCGTATGCTAGCAGTGTGTGTTTACAAATCCTGGCAAATAATCTCAAAATCCTTTAGGGCAATATGTGTGTGTGTGTCTGTGGAGGTGTGTGTGTGTCTACACCCCCCCCCCCCCTGAAACATGCGGTGCTGTGCGATTTCATTCTTTCATTCACACAGGTCAACTGGTCAATTTCCAAATAATCGCCACCTTTTGGCCGGGGAAAATAAGCCCCACTCCCTACCATATCTTTAACTGGACTACCTGTGGGCAGTGCTTAAGCGATTTGGATGATTCACGCTTCGCCGGACGTTGAAGGGTTAAACGGAGAATACTTACACAGATTCTCTCCTCTGAACTTCAAGATTTTCGCCTGGTCGAGGGGAATGTGCCAAGAGTTCGGACCCGCTTTCTTTTCCTCTTTTCAAATTCGTCTATGGCTCATTCGCAGGTATTTGTCGTCCCCGTCTCTGTCTTTAAAGGTTCAAGCCTCGCTTCTACCATGTCGCTTTATGTTTATCACACTTAAATAGTAAACTGGAGTACCAAGTAAGGAGTCAAGACTTGGATCTTATTCCGTTATGATGATAACAAAACAATTCCTTAATATTGTGATAGTGAACTGTTAAATCTCTATCAGAGTTAAGTTCTGCAAGAATGTTGCAGATATATGGTCTTCAAAAGTCGCTACACACTATTTTTAATATTAAGGTGAAAGTAATGTTTATTTAACAATATTTATTTTCAATTAAAAATTTATTATTGGCCCTATTCACGCATGTCAGGATTAACTTTAAGCGATTCCGGTCATGTACAGTAACAACGTAAAACCTATTAGTAGCGCAAAAAAGATAATATTCATTAAATCGCAGGAATTTTCCAATAAATACCAGGAAAAGTTCTTGGCCTCAGACAACCATCAAAATCCAAATGTTTGGTCAGATTTGGATGAGTGGATTGTTCCAGTACGGTCGTATTTTTCACAAAAATTTTTCTGGAAATTTGCTTTTTGAAATCTTGCACATATTTTTCTTAACTGTTCATTAATGATAAAATATAAATTATAGTCTTACATCGAATGATTTCAAAGAGTAATTGCTAATATAAAAATGAATTTATTTATAACACAAAAGTTTTAGAGCGATCTACTCCGCATCATTAAATTATTTACGTTAAAACTTCCCTTTGGCCTTAAAAAGTTCATATATTAAATTTGAGTGCCTAAACGTTAGGGTTTGAGCACTTTTCTCACAAAAATATATATAGCGAACATGCTATTCAAAATTATATACAAGCAAACTCTCCCTATATAATAGTTGGATTGATGTGAGTTTGTGAATCTGGGTTTCACGCTGTTTGCGATCGTCAGACAAACTGATTAATTTTTAAATTTTGGATTTCCTCCCACTTCAATAAAAACACCGATATACGCGACCATATATAAATCCAAAATTTAAAAATTAATCAGTTTGTCTGACGATCGCAAATAGCGTGAAACCCAGGGTCACAAACTCACATCAACGCAACTAAATATGTTAGCGCTATCACCGATATTGAGCGCTTTCCAATAAGTACCGCGCATATATAGTATATAAATAATATATATATAAAGATTGCATATATATATATATATATATTCTGGGTGATAACGCTTTTAAGGGACGCAATCTTTGTGAGTAAATTGCTCAATATTTAGAAATAGACCATTAATAATAAAGGGATAACTATCTAATTCGTTAATGAGTCGGTATCATCTGTGAAAATTGGTGTCCGAAAAATAAGTTTTTGAACATTCTATTTAATTTATATATATATATACATATATAATATATATATGTATGTATGTTCACACACACAAGTTCGCTAAAAATGGGCATACATGAGAGAAATGACTCCAAACTTTATAAAAGCAAATTTTTATCTTCAAAATTTTTGTTAATATTAAGAAGACAAAGGGATTTTTATTATTAAATTATATTTTTAACTCTTTTAGAAACTTCAAAATCTTGGTTTAATTTTTCTTCTTGAGTTAGCGAGTGACCATAAATGTCTTTAGGAAAATGTGGCATCATTTTGCGGTGAAAAACGCATTGATTTGCAAATTCGTGTAAAAATCAATTAATCTTTCAATACGTATTTCCAAATGAATAAAATTATTTTAGAATCGTTTCTTTGTAAAAAAAAAAAAAAAAAAAAAAATCTTCGTAAAAAATATTTTTCATATCAGTTACTTATTACTACTTATTACTACTTATTACTACTTATTACTACTTATTTAATTTTATGAATATTTAGAAATTAATTTTTTACAGCTTAATGTTTATATTATTTATAAGCAGAAGTCTTTGGAGTATTTAAATCATCATTTTTTTCTAAAACAGTATCCTCAGTTACGGAAAATCTGCTCTGAATCGTAAGCTAAAAATTAAACAGAAAAAAAGACATTATTTAATTAGAAAAGCTTTTAATTCTTTCGGTGAATAATTAATTCTTACAAAAATTGTTTCAATTTTTTTTTTTAATTTTAATTAGAACAATTTATAAAGATTTAAATCTTTTAAAAATCTCTATTTGTACCGGTTAGGTGATATTGTTTTTAAGTAAAAACTATATTTACTAATCATATATCGAAAAGCTTACTACAATTCAGCGACCCCCAGTATTTTAAAAATAATTTAGAATTTTTTGTGAGTCTAAGCGTGCAGATTTTTCTAAATACGGATACGAATTTATTAGAAAACAAAATCGGTAACTATAGTAAATTTAAAGCCATAGTACATAAAATTCAATAAAACATTAGATTATTTTCCTAAATGTTTAAGATTACTGGGTAGTTAAAACAAATTATATAAAAAAAAGGCGTGCACCTTATATTAAGTATTTTGCAGATATGGCCTCCGTAGGAAGAAATTTCTCAAACATCATGCTGTCAATTACGCTGTCAACACCTCATAAATTAAATCAATTAAACTAAATGTAATATTTGTTTCAAATCCGAGTGAGTAAATTTAAATCGCCTAATCTAAATTTTTAGAATAGTATATTTTATTTTTGAAATATTTTTTTAAATTAACTTGTGTTGAGAGAATTTTAAATGTGGCTAAAATTAACGATTAAAAAAAAAGTTCATTCAAATCTATTTAAATTCGTTTTGAAATAGACTAAAGTATTTTACTTATTAGAAATATTAAATGTAATCTATTAACTTAAAATACAAGCTTAAAAAAAGATATTTTAATTAAACAAAAAAAAATCATTTTAAATCTTACGTATCAATTTTCTTTGGCGGTGACTAGATTATATTAATCTTTTGCTAAATATGGCAGACCAGGAATTTTTTCATTTAGTTTTTCCAGCGTTCTTACGTTTTCCCGTTATTCCCACTAAATAAACTAAATAAAATGCAAGATTTTAAAAATTAATTAAATTTTCCTTGTCTGCCAGATTTAACAAAAGATGTTTTAAAAGAAAGGTTGCTGCCCGAATATATATTAATACATAAACACACGCACACGCACACACTGAATATTTCCTCTTTAATCGATAATGAAAAAAAAAGGCCTTCCAGAATAACTTCATTTAACTCGTTTCTTCCTATTGTGAAGTTTAATATTTAAAGAAAAGGAGGAGGGAATGTAATTATTAACAAAATTGTTATATAATTTAATATAATCTATACTTTCATTATTCCGAAAAAAAATTAATTTTGGACTAATTTTCCAATCAATCTCTTCATTTCGGACTTATTTCACCTACCTTGAAAATCAATATTAAAAAAAAAAAGATTGCTTTTACCTGAGTTCGAACGCAGATACTTGGCCCAAGTGAGGAATTCTGTCACGAGAAAGACTGAAATATTTGGTAATTTTATTTTATTTCAAGAAACAAAAATAATTCGATGTGGCGCTTGAGAATTTTCGGTAAATTTCAAGTCACTGAAGGCAAGTGTAAATCTTTTCAGTCTATCCAATGTGACGGTTACACACCTGGCCCAGTGTCGGATCCTTTGGTTACAGCGCCAACGGTGACGTCGCTCCTCTGGTCGCTCCTCCTGGGTCCAAGCGTGCCGCTCCAACCCTTTGGTCAGATGATCACCAGCCTCGCCTTTCCCGACTCGCTTCCAATACCTGGTCAAAGCAACTATACCGATCTCCGGTCTGTCTACCCACGCTGTGTTTAGATCTTGAGACAGACAGGACCAGCAGGGATCAGGGCCGATACAAATTGAGTCCGACGGGGGTGGCAAAACACAAATAAAATAAAACTCACGACACCAAACAAAATTGCTGATAAAAAAGGGTAACAACCTTTTTATATCTTAAAGTCCGTTACATAAAAACAAAATTGTTCTCAATTCCCGACCCGCTCTGTGGATATGGCACCAAGCTTCTATCACACAATAGGAAAATGTCGAATTACCTACTTTCTAGAATCATGTATGTATGTCGGGTGTGGTTCAGTTCGACACTGGGGCTAATTTCTATCGATCATTCGCAGTTGATTCTTCTCTCCGACTTGAGTTGTATTTTTCTTCTTCTTCTACTTGGGCTGGAAGTTCTTCTTGTCTGAGGGTTCTTTCTCGCTGCCGTCCGGGATGAACTTAACTGGCAAAGCTCCAACTCTTCTCAGGTTTTCAGGCAATCTTCTTCTTCATCTACTTGGGCTGGAAGTCCTTCTGTCTGAGGTTCTTTTGCCCGCAAAGGGGGCGAGTGAATCGGGTCTTATGTCCGCGTTCAGGATCTTCCCTGCCCGCGGTCCTGCTGCAACTCAGCCCAACTCCGGCTGCATCTCAACTCAAACTTCTTCTTCGGCTTCTGAATTATTGTTCACTCATCTCCGCTGTCAGTGCGCGACTGCAACTTCTCCACTTAGGCCAAACGGACCGGCCTTTCTTGCCCGCAAGAACTTGAATGAGCGGGGCCGCAGCCCGCGCTCAAACTCCTTCTTCATCCGAGGCGCAGCTCAACTGATTTCTGCCGACGGGGGTCCTGCTTATATTGACGCCGCAACAAACCGGGGTGGGTCGGTCGGCGTCAGGGGTTTTCTCGATAATTTCAAAAGTCGTATTAATTTTGACTTTCCATTATCGTTATTGTTTTCACCCCACTTTCTCACAGAGCTCTTGGTGGGGCGGCGCATATCTATTTCTCTTAGTCTCTCTCTCATGTCAGGTGATCGCTCTCAACCAATCGTTCCTGATCGAACCTTTCTTTCTCTTCTTTTCCGCAGCCCACGTGACCGCCTCGTCCAACAGTTATTGATCGAGGTTTTCTTTCCTTCTTCTTCCGCGGTCACGTGATTGTATTCGACCAATTGTTATTGACCGAACACCCTCTCCTTTTTGTTGGCGGGTGTGGTTACCTCGTGCTGGTTTTAAAAAAACAAAATCCGATTTCGCACCTTTTTGCACGTACGCAAAATGACAATCCTTTCTTTCTTTCACCTGGACTTTGTCAAAACAGCCCGCTGCTAATTAGTCTTGACTTTAGAAAGGTTCTTTTCCGCCTTCTTGGCGCCCTCTGTGGTCCAAAAACAATTGCTCTTCTTTTACCTCTTTGTTTTTCCTGATAGTCGAAAATCTTAATTATCTAGGTCGAAATATCTCTACTTTCTTAACGTGGGTGTCCAATTCTTAACAGGTCAATTCCGTATATCGTTTTTCACCAGTCACTTCCCCAACCCAAAAGACACTTTCTCTCTGACTAAAGTAAAATTCATTTCTATTGTTCAAAGAAAAAAAAAAATTTCTCTTCACTCCAAATTGATAAGGGTTTTCCATGCAAGAGTCGGTCAGAGGCCTCTGACCGACATCTGGTCGATATCATGTCTGTTTCCTTTCTTTCTCTTTTATTATTTCCAATTCTATTCTTCCCTTTGTTTTAAAAAAAAATAAAGTCGACCACACGCAGACCTATCTCTACCATCAACTGGGTCATGCGTCATACATTTCTCTTTCTTTCTTTTCTTCCTTCCTTCCTTTTTTTTTTTCCTTCTTCTTTCCTTAGGATCGTCTAGTACATTCTTAGTGAATTATTTTCAACTCAGTTATTTTTCCGTTTTAAAAAAATTAACAACCTGTTTAATAAACTGAATAAGAAAAAATTAACTCATATTTCTATGAATATTTCCAATAAATGCAAGGTGCCATAATCCTCCCCTAACCGATTTGTCATTTACCCGTAAATGACACTAAATAATTACATCATTTAACATGCACCATGCATTCGTCTCATGCAATTCTATTCTACTTTCTAACATGCAAGGGTAATGTTCTTTCCATTTTCTTTTGTTCTACATGCAATGAAATGTTCTTTTCATTTTCTTTTGTTCTACATGCAATGAAATGTTCTTTTCATTTTCTTTTTTGATCTACATGCAATGAAATGTTCTTTTCATTTTCTTTTGTTCTACATGCAATGAAATGTTCTTTTCATTTTCTTCTGTTCTACATGCAATGAAATGTTCTTTTCATTTTCTTTTGTCTCATGCAATGTAATGTTCTTTTCATTTTCTTTTTGTTCTACATGCAATGAAATGTGTGCGTGTGTCTGTAGGTGCAGATGTGTTCATTAGGGTTTATTCTTCTTGGTCAATTTTTCCTCTCTGCTGTGGGAGGTTTTCCGCCGCACGTGGTGGTCCCACGCCAGCCTCCTCCATTGGTCTTCCAGCAATTTCTTCGCCAGTTCTGTCTGAGTGAGGAACACCGCTCGGCATCTCCCTCTCGAGTTGTTGCATGCTCACCAGACTGTCGTTCGCTAATCTTCTCCTACTCTTAATCTTCCATATTATTACACCCCCGATGGCTATAACTAGGGAATGTACCCATTACTATTGACCAATTTATCGCGATCTGCTCATCGTCTTCCCAAGCTACACCTTCGTCTCCCAGCGCACTTAACTTCTATCTCTTAAGTGATCCATATCGATCTTTTCTATGGCTTCATTAAAATTGGCATCTTATTTAAGGTGACATTAGAGAATCTCTTCACTATCGGCTCCCCATAATTCTGTACAATTGACTAAGCCTCTACTAATCGTCTCGATGAGGAATCTTTTTTCTTCATACCTTTCTTCCATCTGGTAATAGGGGGCAAGGAGATGGACACCCCAACCGCCGAACATCCCATGGGTAGCGTCACCTGGGGATAACGGTGGGCCTTATTCTTAATGTCCTTGTGGACTCTCCCCCACATACCCTAGACAGGCTGATATGTTTCTGGGTGGCTACTGCCCCACACCCGTCTGAAACACTGATAGCTTGTGGTAATGCCGAGTTTGTTAATACCTCCACTTGGCAGATTCTTTTGATTCCTTCTCCCTCCTTCAAACAATTCTAGTATGCACAGTTTGCGGTTACCAGTTTTATAGATAGGGCTCAACGAGGTACAAGTCCCCAGGGTATCATCTCTACACCTTCTAGCTTCTTCAGCTGATAGCAACATGAATTTCGTTCTCCCTGAATTTAATGCTATGTAGTCTGCTTCCACCTTGTACCTAGCTATCATTCCTGAAAAATAAATTCTCCTGTTGTTATTCTTCACAACCACTTAGTCTCGCTCGACTCATCACTCAATCATTTCATAACTTTTCTCTTAGTTCGGCTCCTCCCTCCTCTAACTAACCTCTAGCAGCCCACAGAATGGTCAGGTGTGCGTGGCGCCCACTCTAAGGTCGTGCTTCATGACACCACTGGTGGCCAATCAATAATGCCAATGATCTTCCGTTCCTCGTGAGGTGCAGCCCGCGACTCCATCCCTCCACTCACATCTACCATAGTCAGCCAATAGGATTTTGGATGAGCCAGCGTCGTTATCTGTCGACACTAAATGCTCCTATTCTGCACAGCCGTTTTGTTCTACTGAGATTTGGGGTTCTTCTCCCTCCCTGATCTCATCTTCTGAGGTGATTCCTGTTCAACCTCTAACCTTCTTTCTGTGTTTAACTCCCGTCCAGGAGGTTTTTTGTCCTCTTCTTCATCCCCTGATTCTTTTTCCTGTTTAGAGTCTTCGCCTTGAATGTCTTCGATACATCTCGACTCTATGTGTAAACTTCTCCTGTTCTTTATCCTTTCCTTAAGCTGGGAAAGGGGTATTTGATCCTCCTCCTCCCACTCGCTGGACCCTTCGTCCTGTTCAGGGTGCCTCTTTTTAAAGCCTTCGACTGCTTGTTTGGACCTCTTCGTCTTTTTCTTCCTTTTCTTCGGACATGGGGGTGCGATGGCGATTTCACAGGGTCTTCTCTGCACTGATTCAGTCGACGACTGAACATCGCTAATCCGCTGAGGGTTCCAACTCCGTCCTCGGACTGCTTCGTTTATCTGGTCAAGTCGACCTATCTCCTCATCTTCCTCGGAGTCTTCCTCCGTCTCCATTTCTTCGGTTCAACCAGAGTTACCTTCCTTTTCCTTGTCTTCTTAGGCCTCAGCTCGCTCATTTCCAGGTTAGCTATTTCAGCCTTCTTCAGATCATTGGCATGAACCCTCCTCGCTCGTCCTGCCACTTGATCCCATATTACATATGATACGGGGCCCGTCTGCTCTACTATCCGGTAGTATTTGGTTCCCATCTCTGGTCTAGTTTTCCTTCTCTCTGGTGGATTTTTATAGTAGACAGGGTCTCCAACCCTCAATTCTACCACCTTTCTTTCAGCATTCACCCTTTCATTTCTTTTCTTCTGGGCCCTCTTTATTCTTCTTCTGGCCTGTACGAATATCTTATGCTGCTGTTCCAGCAATAGTTGATGATGATCTTCTCCCATATACCTTCTTCGGGGCTTCAGTAGGTTATCTACAGGCAGGACCACGTCTCTGCCAAACAACAAAAAAATAAGGAGAAAATCTGGAGGTTTCGTTTATCGTAAACCTCGGCCGCCAGAGCCTGCGTCAAATACAAGTCCCAATTTCCAATGTTTTCTCTGACCAACTTGGCCAATACATCTCCCAAGGTTCTATGAAACCTTTCCCTTTAGCATTTCCCTGGGGTGATATGGGGATGTTTTATGTGCTCTACATTCAAACCTGTCAAAACCTCTCATGATGCTGTTCACATTCTCCGTGCCATTATCTGTTACCAATTGCACAGGGGCACCATACCTAGGGAAGATTTCTGCTTATTATCAACCCGGCCACAGTTCTGGCCTTCTTGTCTGGTACTGCAAATGCTTCAGGCCAATTTGTTAGCCAATCGACAAAACTCACTATATAGTTGTTTCCTTGTGCAGTTTCCCCATATGGTCCTGATACATCCATACTCACTTTCTCGAAGGGAAGTTTGGTACGTCTGTTTCCTCCAAAGGGTGCCATTTCCTGCCTTCTGCTCTGCGACTGGCACACTACACAACTCGAACATAGTTAGTGACTTCTCCCGTACAGTTTGGGCCAATAGTACTTTCTTCCTATGAGATCACATGTCCTATCAATTCCCATGTGACCCAACCTCTCGTGCACTGTTCCAATATCTCTGGTCTTAAACTTTGGGCACATACAACTTGGGTTTGATTTCTTCATCCCTTCCTGAGAGATAATACAGCCTTTCCTCTATTATGGCATACTTGGTGGTCTCTCCTGCCTTCACCTTCTCTCTTAGAGCAGCTATTTCACTGTCTGCTTGCTCCTTCTCAATTCCTTCTGTCCAGTAAGGATCGGTTATTATCTGGGCGTCCCTTCTTCGTCCGATTCTAATATAGGGCGATCTTTTAGCTTAATAGAGTTAATTACTCCTATTCTATAGGCTTTATCATCTACTCCCTGTTCTACCCTTACAGATCTTTCTTCCAGTTGTTTCGGTATTCTTGAGAGTAAATCTGCGCACGTGTTTTCCTTTCCTGCCAAATACTCTATCTTACAGTGGTAGCCACTTAACTTAAGTGCCCACTGTTGAATTTTCTTATTATTTGTCCACTCTGCCTGCAATAGATACTGCAGAGGCTTGTGGTCCGTCTTTATAGTGAAGACCGCACCATTTAAATAGTAGTCCAGCTTTTGGAGAGCATACATGATAGCATATGCTTCCCTCTCTATTACTGGCCACCTCTGTTGTGTCTCTGAGAGCTTATGGGAGGAAGTATCAGTACTTCCTCTGGTATGCCTGGCACTGGTCCTTCCTTATCAGGACACGGCTGGGTAAGTACTGCCCTACACACTGCTCACTGGCATCCGTGTATAATATCATGGGCTTGCTGAGGTCTGGGTACGTCAGCAGTGGAACGGTGGTCAACTGTTCCTTTAGCGAGTCAAATGCTCGTTGACAGTCCTCTGTCCACTTGAACCTAGCGTATTTCTTCGTCAGGGCCACCAGCGGTATGGCAATTCTTGAAAATGCCGGGACGAAGCGTCGGTAGTAGCCTATATAGCTCTATGAAACCTCTTACCTGCCTCACGGTCTTAGGCTCTGGCATTTCTCTTATGACCTTTACCTTATCCATGTCGGGTTTAATACCGTCTCCGTTTATGACGAAGCCTAAATACCTAGTTTCTTCCCTCAGAAACTGACACTTTGACAATTTCAATTTTAATCCGTGTTTCCTCAACCTTCCCAACACCTGTCCTAAATGAAAAAAGTGTTGTTCCACTGTCTCCGAAAATATCAAGATATCGTCCAAATACGCCATGGCAAAGCTCTCATATCCTCCTAACACTATTGACATTAGCTGTTGGAAGACTCCCGGGGGCATTAGCTAAACCAGATGGCATCACTCTGAACTGAAACAGTCCCAGGTGACACGCGAATGCGGCCTTCTCTTGTCAGCCTCATCCAGGGCTACCTGCCAATACCCGGACCTCAAGTCCAACGTAGAGAAGTTTTGCCTTCCCTAATAATGCCAAAATGTCGTCTATCAATGGCAATGGCACCGCCAACAGCTTCGATATAAATTCAGCTTTCTAAAATCCACACAGAAACGGTGGCCGCCATCTTTCTTACCTACTATTACTATTAGGAAGCTTAAGGAGAGATCGATCTTTCGATCATCCCAGCTTCCAACATTTCTCTACTGCCTCTTCTACAAGGGTCTTTTATGTATAGGTGTTCGGTAGGGTTTTAATCTCACAGGGGGGTGGTCTCCGGTGTCGATTTTCATTTTCGACTGTGGGTCTGACCTAGCTCCTTGTCTGACTGGGGCCACCACATCTCGATTGTTCCTTAACAGACCCCCCACTCTGGTTCTAAATTGATCCGGTGCTAATATATCCTCATCTAAGATTCCTTTTGTTTGCTCTACTAGCTTCCTTTGTTCCTCCTCGAATCTCACCCGATTCAGAGTTCGTAGGGGAAGTGCTCTCCTCATCTTCTCCCTCTCTCCTAACCTTTTATAGTCTTTTGGGCCTGGTTCACCATCATTATGGGCACCAACTCGGCTGCCTCCACTACCGTTTCGCATAGGGTTACCTCGTTATCTTCTAGGCCCTTTCCTTCTACAGGGACCAACTGCAGAGGTCCTCTCCGTACCTTTTTTCTGACATTAGCCTACCCTTTTCCTGACACTGCGGTCCTAGGAGGTAACTTTACATCTTCCTCCACCACTATGGTTATCTCTTCCTCTGGTGGGCATCCCAATGGCGTTCTCTCGCCGTTCACCACCAACACAGTAGGATTAAATTCGATCTGGGCCTTCTGGCTCCGGAGCCAATCTTCTCCCAAGATTGCCTCTGTACACAGGTCGGGGGTTACGTAAAGGTTTTGGGTGCTTTTCACCCTCCCAATCCTCACCGGGAGCCTCACCATCCCTTTTATCTCCAGGGGGGCCCCATCTGCTTGCGTGATCTCTATGTCCGCTTCCCGTAACCTTCTCTTCCATTTCACCCGCCTGTATGTTTCCTCTCTCATCAATGACACAGATGCTCCTGTGTCCACCAAAGCCCTCATCTCTCTACCACCTATCTCTGCTCTACAGGATAGTTCTCTCTTGCGTTAGCGAAGAGAACACCTGAGCTTTCTTCTTCCTGGGTCCCCACCTTTGGGTTAACCCAGCCATAGGCGCCGGTAGTAATATATCACCTTCATTTTTCTCATGAGGTGGAGTTCTGCGCCCCCTGCACCTGGGCGACCCCGGCCGGACCTCTCCCGGTCTCCCATGGCCGTTTCTAAGAATACAGTTTCTTTTCAGGTGTCCTGGCCTCCTGCAAAACCAGCACCTTCTTGCTGGACAGCTTGCCGCAAAGTGGCCCGCCCGACCACATGTCCAACATTTTGCTCTTTCTCTTTTTAACTGGGTTGGCCTTGTGTCTATCCTCGGGGGAACCCGTCCTCTATTCAAGCGGTTCGCCCGTTCACTGGTCCAAGCTTTTATTTCTCTCCTTTTTAACTGGGCCACCCTCCCTCTTAATTCTGGGGTGGCCCGCTGGCTTTTCTTGGGCTCGGCCTTCCTTGTTAATATTGGTGGGGCACCCTTCCTCAGCCCGCACCACTTAGCCAGGTGTCCTTTCTTACCACACCTGGTGCACCTGTCACGATCGAAGTCTGGGGGCAACCCCCACTTCGTCGGACATTCCGCCGCCCTGTGGTCCTCGTACCCACAGGTCCAGCAGACCAGCCCGTATCGACCCGGCGTGGGCTTATAAAAGCCATGCCTGGTCGACCATGCCCTTCTATTGGGGTCCTCTCCCTTAATTCTGCCCGATCCACCTCTTCCTTAACCCTCTGATTCCACACGGGGGTTCTTCCGCCTACCCCCTTCTTCCAGCCTCCTGACTTGGTATCTGCTTCTTCCCACACCTCTTCACCTTATCCCATACCCCTGGCTCTCTCTGGCCAGCTCTATCGCTGCCGACAGTCTGAGCGGTCCCTCTTTCAGGACGTCGTGCCGAACACGCTCATCACTCAGAGCTTCCCATACAGGTCCGCCAGTTGGGCCTGCATGACTGCGTTGTCCCTGACCACCTCGGGGAATGCTAATGACGATAGCCTTCCCGCTCGGGCCCCCAATTCTCGGGGTTTCATCCCGTAGCTGTGTCAGTTCTAAAAAGGGCCCTCATGGCCTCTTATGGCCGTACCTTCGTCGGCGAATTCTTTGGTCAGCAGTTTTTTATTTCTTCCCAAGCCAAGCGGGGTTGGTTCTCCACGAGCCCCCCACGAACTCCGACGCTTTTCCCTTTGTGGCATCGTATGCCAGGTACAGGGTTTCTTGGTCCGAGAGCTCGTAGATGGTTCGGCTCTTTTCGAGGATTGTCAGCCAGTTCCTGAACTCCTTCCCACTACCATCAAACACTGGGACCCTCGGTCCACCCAACAGCCCCTTAAATCTACCGACAACCCCCGCCCTACTTCTTCTTCACCCCCACTGCTCTATCCGACTCATAATCTGACATGTCTACAGAGAGCAACAATCGAGGTAGGGAAATAAACAAGGTGTCCTACCTTACAGACGATTCTGTTCCTTCTTTTCCTTTGGTCCCGGGGTCGTTCTGATTTCTGCTTGAACTTTTCAGCAACGGCGGTCGATCGTGGTCTTCTCAGGGTTGAAATCCTCGGTCACCACGGCACCATATGTGACGTGGTTGTCTCAGGGTTGATCCGTTGGTCACGGCACCACTTGTGACGTGGCTGTCTCAGGGTTGATCCGTTGGTCACGGCACCACTTGTGACGTGGCTGTCTCAGGGTTGATCCTGGTCACGGCACCACTTGTGACGGTTACACACCTGGCCCAGTGTCGGATCCTTTGGTTACGGCGCCAACGGTGACGTCGCTCCTCCTGGTCGCTCCTCCTGGGTCCAAGCGTGCCGCTCCAACCCTTTGGTCAGATGATCACCAGCCTCGCCTTTCCCGACTCGCTTCCAATACCTGGTCACTAAAAGCAACTATACCGATCTCCGGTCTGTCTACCCACGCTGTGTTTAGATCTTTAGACAGACGGGACCAGCAGGGATCGGGGCCGATACAAGTTGAGTCCGACGGGGTGGCAAAACACAAATAAAATAAAAACTCACGACACCAAACAAAATTGCTGATAAAAGGGTAACAAACCTTTTATATCTTAAAGTCCGTTACATAAAACAAAATTGTTCTCAATTCCCGACCCGCTCTGTGGACTATGGCACCAAGCTTCTATCACACAATAGGAAAATGTCGAATTACCTACTTTCTAGAATCATGTATGTATGTCGGAGTGTGGTTCAGTTCGACACTGGGGCTAATTTCTATCGATCATTCGCAGTTGATTCTTCTCTCCGACTTGAGTTGTATTTCTTCTTCTTCTTCTACTTGGGCTGGAAGTTCTTCTTGTCTGAGGGTTCTTTTCTCGCTGCCGTCCGGGGATGAACTTTAACTGCAACTCCACTCCAACTTCAGCTCCAACTCTTCTCAGGTTTTCAGGCAATCTTCTTCTTCATCTACTTGGGCTGGAAGTCCTTCTGTCTGAGGGTTCTTTTGCCCGCAAAGGGGGCGAGTGAATCGGGTCTTATGTCCGCGTTCAGGATCTTCCCCTGCCCGCGGTCCTGCTGCAACTCAGCCCAACTCCGGCTGCATCTCCAACTCAAACTTCTTCTCTTCGGCTTCTGAATTATTGTTCACTCATCTCCGCTGTCAGTGCGCGACTGCAACTTCTCCACTTAGGCCAAACGGACCGGCCTTTCTTGCCCGCAAGGGGGCGAATGAGCCGGGCCCGCAGCCCGCGCTCAAACTCCTTCTTCATCGAGGCGCAGCTCCAACTGATTTCTGCCGACTTTATATTGACGCCGCAACAAACCGGGGTGGGTCGGTCGGCGTCAGGGGTTTCTCGATAATTTCAAAAGTCGTATTAATTTTGACTTTCCATTATCGTTATTGTTTTCACCCCCACTTTCTCACAGAGCTCTTGGTGGGGCGGCGCATATCTATTTCTCTTAGTCTCTCTCATGTCAGGTGATCGCTCTCAACCAATCGTTCCCGATCGAACCTTTCTTTTCTCTTCTTTTCCGCAGCCCACGTGACCGCCTCGTCCAACAGTTATTGATCGAGGTTTTCTTTCCTTCTTCTTCCGCGGTCACGTGATTGTATTCGACCAATTGTTATTGACCGAACACCCTCTCCCTTTTGTTGGCGGGTGTGGTTACCTCGTGCTGGTTTTAAAAAAAAAACAAAATCCGATTTCGCACCTTTTTGCACGTACGCAAAATGACAATCTTTAGCTTTCTTTCACCTGGACTTTGTCAAAACAGCCCGCTGCTAATTAGTCTTGACTTTAGAAAAGGTTCTTTTCCGCCTTCTTGGCGCCCTCTGTGGTCCAAAACAATTGCTCTTCTTTTTTACCTCTTTGTTTTTCCTGATAGTCGAAAATCTTAATTATCTAGGTCGAAATATCTCTACTTTCTTAACGTGGGTGTCCAATTCTTAACAGGTCAATTCCGTATATCGTTTTCACCAGTCACTTCCCCAACCCAAAGACACTTTCTCTCTGACTAAAGTAAAATTCATTTCTATTGTTCAAAAGAAAAAAAATAAAAATTTCTCTTCACTCCAAATTGATAAGGGTTTTTCCATGCAAGAGTCGGTCAGAGGCCTCTGACCGACATCTGGTCGATATCATGTCTGTTTCCCTTTCTTTCTCTTTTATTATTTCCAATTCTATTCTTCCCTTTGTTTTAAAAAAAAATAAAGTCGACCACACGCAGACCTATCTCTACCATCAACTGGGTCATGCGTCATACATTTCTCTTTCTTTCTTTTTCTTCCCTTCCTTCCTTTTTTTTTTTTTCTTTCCTTCTTCTTTCCTTAGGATCGTCTAGTACATTCTTAGTGAATTATTTTCAACTCAGTTATTTTCCGTTTTTAAAAAAAATTAACAACCTGTTTAATAAACTGAATAAGAAAAAATTAACTCATATTTCTATGAATATTTCCAATAAATGCAAGGTGCCATACCAAGTTTGCCGACATATTTCAAACTATCTATCATTTTAACAGACGGGAAAATTCAAATCCTAACTCATTAGTACACTCGTCAAAAATTCTCTCAGCGAATTTGCAGCAGACAATTTGATAGGATTTGTGCGCAATAATGAACATAAGCTTCATTGAGCGATGATTTAACGTTTGGATATTTACTAAACGGAAGACCAAGTGGTGTTTCATGGCGTTGTTTCAAATTCTAAGTTATATATCTTTAATAATTTGAATGACCCCAAATCGGAAATACAGTCCCAAAGATCCACAGTGAATATTGTTCCAAATATACATATATTCTGTGCACAAATTCACATGTAGTAAAACTAAATGCATTGTTTCATATAAATTTTGATGGACGCATAAATGCAGTTTTTTGCACGGATGCATTTCACGAGTGCGTGAAAGAATCCTTACGCTATGATTAAGACGGAGATAATGCTTAGCTTAGTCTGCCATTACGATACAATTGTGGATCATCCAGTGAGGATACAAATTGTTTTCACTAAAAATAAGCCGAGATGTCCATAGACAGTCTGGTGGGAGGGGGGTGGAATTTATTTTTTTTTAATTTTAGGTCATTTTCCGACCCACCTTCCGATCATATTAAGAGCCCGCCATTTATTTAAAACTTTTTTTTATTTTTTTAAATAATTGTTTTTTTTTTAAGACCACCCCGTTTATTGCATATTGAGAAAATTTCCAATCACCCGATTAAGACTCCCCCCCTTTTTTTTTGCAGCATCAAAGAGTAATGCGAGTAGCAGTTAAGCTCATGCAAAGTTTTCCACGCCGTTTTTGTATAATTTTGGGGAAATCTTAGAAATGTCTGAGGATTATTCAGCACTTTATTGCTTGTGCAACCAGTTAGCTGTAATATCATTTACGAACGTTAAGTGAAAAAAAAAACACAAATATTAAAAATAGGTTTCACATGAAATTATAAAAGCGAACAGCGATAAGCATTATAAAAAAAAAACGTTTTCCTCTTTTTGTTCGACATAATGACGGAAAAAGAATTCTTTTTAGACAAGATATTCACTCGAACGATTAAAAAAATGAACATATCCTACTAGTCAAAACAAAGAAAATTGTGGTAAAATCTAGAACAGCTATCAATACTTACCTCTAAACGGAATCTACTGGGAAAATTAAATTCTATTTGGTGGGATCAAAGAACTGATACAAGCTGTAGTGAGCAACTGGTTTGTTTGAATGACGCACAAGAGTATAAAAGACCTTTTTTTTCTGGGCAAGGAGGCCACTCGGCGACTTCGCTGTGTGACTACATCCATTTCATGACAAATGCAGATGACAGAATCGGGATGAGAAATTGTTCGATATCCTGAATATTCTTCAGACTTGTTATCTTTAGACGATTATTTTGTCTCGCTCTTTTTCTGGTCAGCCGTTCTAAAAAAAACTGAAGATAGTGAATCAAAACCGGAATCGCTCTTTTATAAAGAAATATGCAATATACATGTAGCGTGACGTCATATCTTTAAAAAAAACAGGGAAATTCTCAGATAACCAAATAATTCCGATATATACATCCGAATCAGAATTGTGAATAAAAGTTGGCAGCTCATTTATAAGTCTGGATATAAGATGAATGCATACGATTGATCTTATATATGTTTATAAAATATGTGAAAAACGTTTCCCAAGATGTAATCACAAATTTCCTTGTTTCGGATTGCCTCTTTAGAGGTTTTAGTGGATAATCCCGGATTTTTATTAATAATGAAAGATGTTTTCCAGCAAATAAACAAAGTATTAAGATACAGAAAATTCCGTTAGAAACAAAGAAAAGAGTGCTGAACTTCTGTCATATCTATTTTTTATATGGCCGTCCTTGCTACACAGTCTTCACCGATGAAAAAGAAACTTGAAGCGACAAAGATGTGGTTCTATCGATCAATACCGATAATATTATGGCAGAACAAGTGAGAAACGAGGGCCTTTTAAGGAAAATAATAACAAAAACACATTCGCAATCAGAAAAGGACGGTTAAAATTAATGGGACACAAAATGAGGAAAGCAGACGTGAAGAATTTAATACATATTCAGTACAAGAAAATCAGAGAAAAACATAAAGTAACCTGTCTAACGAATTTGTGGGAAGGGATGAAAGAACAAGATTGAAGGAAGATGGTTATTTAAAGCAAAGAAAGACGAGAAATTGTGAAGAGCTATATCCACCGGCCTTTTGAAGGCACACCGCGTATAATACAAAGTAAACTTCACATGTATATAAATGTTTATCTAATTGATGTAAATATTTTAATTTTCTATAGATATTTTCATGGCAACTGTTCTAGGGAGCTTTCCTCTTTGGTACTTCGACTTCATGAATTGAAAGGTAGTACTAGATTGGCAGTTAGGTCTCATCATTTTACTTTTGAAATTGTTAAATATAACCGTAAGTTCTATTCTAGTAGATTCTTCTCTCACACTTCTCACCTGTCGAACTCTCTTTCAGCTTCAAGATCATACTCACACTAACACAGCGGTGGGGTGGGCTAACTTTGGGTATGGTAGCGAATGCTTGACAAAGATGAAGAAGAGAGTTGAAGGAACAGAAATGTGTTTCTACAGAAAGATGGTGAGGATACCATGGATCGAACATGTGAACAACGACGGGGTTTTAGAGACAATGGAAGCAAAAAAGAAACTTATACTTAACATCAGGAAGAGGCAGTTGAAATTTCTGAGGCACGTAATGGGGAAAGAGGGCTTGGAAAATCTGATACTCACAGGACAGACCGAGGGAAAGAGGAACAAAGGAAACCAACACATAATATACTTAATGGGCTTAAGTGGATGGTAGAACAGAATCTGGAAGAAATAACTAAAAGACAAACTAATTAAGTTACAAAGGACAGGAAGACGTGGAAGTCCGTGATCGCCTACACCCTAAAGGGACTCGACACATAAAAGAAGTTTATTACGTGTATATGCCTACCAAACCATCTATATTACATATCTATGTGTGAAGAAAAATATACAGAAAAAACAAACAAAAATCTTAATGGACATAAGAGCACAACTAATCCAAACAGATTAACGAAATTTAAAAAATTTCAGTTATTAATTCAAACAGATAACTGAAATTTAAAAAATTAAACATAATCCAAACAGATCACTGAATTTTTTTAAAAATTTCAGTTACATGTTTGGATTAGATGGACTTATGCCCATCGTCTTTCATGTTGAATTTTATGTTTTAATGTTAAATGTTTAAAAAAATGTTGATGATGGTCTAAAATAAACCGAAACGTGACGTTGACTTTATATTAACATTAATCCAAACAGCATAATTGCATATTAAGATTTTTGTTTGTTTTTTCTGTATATTTTTCTTCCTACTGTCGGATCTATATCCATATATTTGCTTACATATCTATCTATGTGTATTAGAAGTGTTACGTCATAATCTAACCACGTGATCATGACATCTGATAGTCTGACAAAACAGTCTGCCCGGCTTGATTCTGTAAGTATAGAGGATTTAGATGTGTATCTAGATTGCGGACAAACATCTGGCATGTTGTTCTATAGTACGTTTAGTGTGTCCAACTCAAAAATCTAAAGCATTGGTTATATAATTCTTTTAATGCCATCTTCCTCCCGAACAGAGGCGATCTGGGCTCTCCCCAAGTTTTTGAATTACCACACATTCTCGGGAAAGATAGTGGAGTGGTTTCCGTAACCTTCCTTAGGGTTTCGAAATAAAAAGTTTTCACTCACTTAGGCAGATTGTCTATCCTATTTAAATCGATGAACAGCGAGAAGAGAGGCATTCATACATTTTCAAAATGTTTCTTTTTTTTGCGTGAAAGTGAATGCAACTGTCTAGCCTGGAATTTGAACACTGCGCATTGATTTCACTTTCTGTGCTGATGCCAATCACACTATCTGCACATGCTTGATTATATAGAATTATGCCTAGATTATAGGCCAAGAGCTCACGACTAGCTTCATAAACAACACATATAAAAACTGATAATTATTCCAAGGAAGAGAATCATAGACACATAGAC